CATGGACCCCCTAATTCCCTGCAGCTGCAGTATAGACCGTATGCACCGAGCACAGACTCCCCTAATTCGTGCAGCTGCAGTAGAGACCATGCACTGAGCATGGACCCCCTAATTCCCTGCAGCTGCAGTATAGACCACGCGCCGAGCGTAGAGACTAAAAGCTTTTAATTACAGGTAACTTTGTCAAGGGAAAAGTAATAAGTACATACGTACAGTGACTTTTCAATGTTCAGTTCTCTCAGATCAGGTTTTCTTTGGTGCCCAAGTACTAACAAGATTTACATTTTTAAATGCTGTGACTTTCCAACTGACTTATTTATTATAAGATGAACTTTTTATCTATGTCTGTTGGGTCTTTCAGAATCTCCCTGAGACATTAGCTCCAAGTTTAAAGGCAATTTTGAAGAAGGAGATCTATCAGAAAAGAGGACAATATTTCATAAGGGTCGAGGATTCTGAGATTGAATACAATTCCCAATTTAGGTAATGTCTCTCACAGTTAAATTGAGTCAAATGTTTGTATTCTCCCAAGATCGATATCATGGAAGGCCCTGTGCCTCAGTCCTGGTGAGCTTTTCCTGGAGGAAATGGTGAGATTGCGTTTGGAATGTTTTGTTTGTGTTTCCGGGGCACATTCATCAGTACACAGAAGAGAGAACGGAGTTTTGTTCATCGAGCCGTTCCCAACCAGCATTTTCCGTGCCGTGCCTGATAAAACCTGGGGCAAGAGGGGTCCCCAGAAAGGTGTGGAGCGGCAGCCAGCCGGAAGCCGGACCCCACTCGACCCCACTTGATCTGTTTGCATCACATCTGATTTCGGCAGGAAAAGCTTCTGCTCCTTTATCAGACAAAATCCGTACCGGATATGTGGAGGGAGCAGGGAGAGATTTTGCCTGGTCTGATGAAAACGTTTCCATGTTCCCGGCAGTTAGGGACCTTCAGGAACTCTGCTCCCCCCCCCCCCACTCCCCCACCAGCCAACTTCGCCAAGGACTCTTACACCGTCACATTGAACAGTATAAAAATGCAGTTCCCGAGGGAATGAGACATTTGAGTTGCCAGAGACAAGCACTCTCCCCGTGAACTCATAACCAGCAGGTCGTTATGTAGGGAGTGATCAGCACAGGGGAGTTAGAAGCTGGGTTTACTGGTCCCCAGCCCGGTGTGCTTAACTGCGCTACGGGGGCTCTGACACGCTGGGTCCTCTCCTGGTCCTGGTGGTCAGTGGGTCGATCTGTGGGTCAGCGGGTCCTCGCCCCCGGGCAGGGTCCCAAAGTCTGGCTCCTCACCACCCTCTTGCAGCCGGGAATCCCCTCTCCCAGCCTCCCTCCTTCGGTTAAGAAAACATTTTGCAAAGTACAGTTATGTTCCTCCAAACAACATTCTAGGGATTTAATAGGTGTCACTCAAAAAAGGGGTCCCATAGTTTTGAAAAGCACAAGGTTAAAGAAGGTTAGACAGCAGGCTTTTCCCCTCAAGGACTTAAAACCCCTGATTTAACAAACACTCTCCGGGACACAGCCGACAAATTACGGATTGAGCAACAGCCCCAGGAATGAATGAAGCAATGTCCTGCTGAGTGGACAGCCCGGTGCCCGTGTCTGAATTGTGTGTGTGAGGAGGGGGTGGAGGGTACGGTCGCAGAGGGCAGACTGGCGACAGGTCCCCGCTCTGTCACTTTCTGGCCGTGGACTGTGAGCAGCTTACGTGGACCCTCGCAGCCCCCATTCCACCCTCTATAAAATGGGACGAGGAATCGCCCCTGCTGTATTGGGGTATCGGGTCATGTGGAGACCGCACAAGACCCAGAATCACTCCTGACCCTCCCCCCGGGCACCACCCTGCTCCAGGCCACCATCACCTCTCCCATGTTAACCAGTCTCCCGCTTCCTTCTCCCCCATCCCCACCCCCACCCTGGTTACTGTCCAGGCGGCAGCTGGAGGGGCCCGTTGGAGAAGGCCGGCCACCCTCTGCCCCCAGCTTCCGTGGGGCTCTCACTCGGTGCAAACGCCACGGTGCTGACGGTCCCCAGAGGGCAGGTCAGGGCTCCTACTAGTTAGTTAACACTTTTCTCTCCTCTGTCCCGATGCGGGGACCAAATATGGTCGGAACGTAATCTGTGGCTGTGTTTTATTTTAAGTTATAAATAGCAAATTCATTCACAGAGTATAGATGGAGAGCCTATTTTGCATACAGGGCTGAACAACACTAAAAATTAACCGTGTCTGCTTCCGGGAGCAATATTTCTTTCCATTATTTCATAAATTAGTTTCCTTTGTTTTCCTGCCGCCGCGGGCCCTTTGAATAACTGGCGTCTTTCTCATGTTTTAGGTTGTTCATTTCCACAGAGGTAGACAACCCCCATCTTCCTCCGTCGGTTTATAACTTTGTTACCGTGATCAACTTCACCTTAACGTTCCGAGATTTGCAGGATCAACTCCTTTCTACGGTATTAACTCATGAAGTTCCTCACTTAGAAAGTCAACGTTTCCAGTTGTCGGAGAGTATATCCCTTGATGCTGGGACTCTTGAAGAGCTAGAAGAACAAACGTTAAATGTACTGGAGACCGTGCAAGGTTAGTTAAGGTATTTCGTGGCATTGGGAGACCTTTGCTAACTCTGTGAAGGACAGAAGAAAAGTCAGAAGGGCCCTATTCTGAATCGGTACCAAAAATACCAGATCTGCCGTTTCCACCGGAGAACTGATTGATGGGGGTGAAACACCCAGTCTCTAAAATGAAATGCGGTCCCACCTCTGTGTCAGCTCGTCATGCCGCAGGACATTCGCCACGAGGCAGTCAATAGAAGTTGTAAGAAAAATCCTGCAGAGGCTGGCGGGTGCCTCCTTGTTCTCTGCCATTTACGTCAGTTGTCTGACATCTGTTCTATGTATCAGGTTAGACTGGAGACCTAAAGAGTAGGTTTCCCCACGAATTCATAACTAACATATACAAGGCCATAATGCGGTGACCTGTGTGTGTCCCATTAAAAGATGGTGTTTATTACAATAGCAGTAGAAACGGTTTTCCTCTTCGACACAGGAAGTAGCTAAGAAACCATACTCTTTACATTTCACAAAATAATTTCTGAACAGCTAAAGATGAAGCATTACAACTTCCCGGGGTGGACTGGCTGCTCTGCCCCTGAAGGGGTCCTGGATCCCCAGTTTCAACACAGGATGGGGGTGCGCTCACGCTAGCAAGCATGAGACGCTAGACGGGTGTCCTACGGGTGCCGCCATCCGACACTGTCTACCCGGAGCCGGCATCGGATTCCCTTCCCCTTACGGTTTCAGTCCCACGAGTCCGCCCCCTCCCCACAGACGGGCTTCAGATCCCAAGTTCCAGCAACCCCTCCTGAGGTCTGATTCGTTTGCTGCAGCGCTCACAGAGCCCAGGAAACCCGTTTGCTCTCTGGATTCCTGGTCTCTTGTGAAAGGATGGAACTCGGACCAGCCTGGTGGGCGTGGACGAGGTCCGGGGACGGTGCGGCTGCCATGTTAACCCCCTGTCCAGCGCCCTCCCTCCCGGTGAGGTGATCCGCCGTCCTGAGGTGGAGTCCAGGGTCGCCTCGCTAACCTAACAAAACACACCTTTCTTACCCTCTTCTGTCCTTTAGAAATCCCCAGGGTTTTTAGAGCTCTCAGCCGGGAGGAAGACCTCGTGTATATTTCTTATTATAGGTCACAGGGTCACAGCTCATCTGAGGTCACATACTTGTTGTCTAACGGTGGGTTCCTGTTCGTTCTCTCTCTTTACTGGCGACTCTGGGGCTCGACCGACTCTCAGATGCTTTCGTTCCTATTAAGGATCGACTACATTCCTTCCTGTTCTAATCACAGCCATTATGCTGTTTCTGTGTAACATATGGCTAAGCCATGCTTCTGTTAATGACAAGACCAGTCACATGGGCCAGGTTGTCACGTCTGTTTCCCTCGGGAGGTGGAATGAGTCAGCAGCAAAAGCAGGACACGTAGGTCTTAGGTGACACACAGAAGGCGACACGGTTGGTCCGACTCACAAGTCCCGTTTCATGAACCGTTATATGCAACTGTCACGTTTGGGCTATAACTTTTGTCTACGTTGAACCAAAGACAGACTTGATGAGACAAAAGGAAAGTTGTTTCTGATGACACACATCAGCACACGCCCGCACACGCCCGCACACGCCCGCACACGTCCGCACACGTCCGCACACATCCGCACACATCCACTCAGCGTGTCATTATGCCTTTGGTGCTTGTTCCTACCACTTGTTCCTCGTGGTAGAGTCTGAGGGTTGTTTGTTTTTTTTTTTTAAGTTTATTTATTTTGAAAGAGAAAGAGCACAAGCGGGGGAAGAGCAGAGAAAGAGAGAGACAGACAGAATCCCAAGCAGGCTCCACACTGCCAGCAGAGAGCCCAGCACAGGGCTCAGTCCCACAGACTGTGAGATCTTGACCTGAGCCGAGATCAAGAGTCGGGTGCTTAACTGACTGAGCCCCCCTGGTGCCCCTCTGAGATTTTTGTAAAGACTAACCTTTTACTAATAGTGGTTATAATTTTACCAGTAGTGGTTATAATAAAAATTGTTCTGGAAAAAAACTAAAGAGACTCCTTGACTCAGTACATATTTTTTCTTCCCTTTTTCCAGGTTTTAGTAAAGTAGATCATCCTTATATCTCTTTGTAAATATTCTATCTTTACTGTGGCTTCCCAACCGCTGTGGGAAACCCAGGTAGAGTGGGGACTATGAGAGGTAGCCCATAGCTGAGGTCCAGACATCACTTAGGAAGCATCACCGAAATCAAGAAGCATGCGGTATCCCGGTCGTGGAATGTAATAATCCCATCATTCCTTGAAATGATCATGTGAAGCTGGGTTTAGTTCTAGATACCACGTTTTAAGAGGGCTCTTTTCAAACCAAGGTGTCCCAAGGTAAGCATCAAGGACAGTGAGGAGTCTATCAATCATATCATTTACAAAAGCACCTGAGGAAAATGGGAATGTTTTGTTCATAAAATAATAGAATTTCTGATGGAAATATGAGAATCGTCCTAAATATTCAAAAAGGATAGAATTATTCTGTGTTTCTAGAGCAATGCCTTTTCAAAAGATAAGTTGTAGCCTGATAGTGGAACGAGAAATCACTTTCCTTGGTCATTATCAACTTGATTTGCTTAACAAAATAGAATACAATAGAAAATATCAGAGTACATCACAGGAAATAATGAGGCACTTGTTATTTTCTAGAAATTTGGTTTTCATTTCCTTCCGTCCTTCAGACGGAATGGCTACTTATTATGTGCTTACAGTAAAAATAGAACCTACATGGGGTGCCTGGGGAGCTCAGTCGGTTAAGCATCCGACTTCAGCTCAGATCACGATCTCACGGTTCATGGGTTCAAGCCCCACATCAGGCTCTGTGCTGACAGCTCGGAGCCTGGAACCTGCTTGAGTTGTGTGTCTCCCTCTCTGTCTGCCCCTCCCCCACTCATTCATTTCTCTCTCTCTCTCTCTCTCTCTCTCTCTCTCTCTCTCTCTCTCTCTGTCAAAAATCTATAAAAATTAAAAATAGAACCCACACATACTGAAATAATATAAAGAAGAGATAAGTGGGGGAGGGGGGGTACATGTGTGCTATTAACCAGATTATTCAGAAATATGACTCAGTTAAGAGCCCATCTCCAAAATAAAACCACCAAAAAGTCAACTGTAAAAACTCTTACAGAGGGGCACCTGGGTGGCTCAGTCGGTTAAGCATCCAATGCTTGATTTCAAGCTCAGGTCATGATCCTGGGTCCGTGGGATTGAGCCCCACATCGGGCTCTGTGCTGACAGTGTGGAGCCTGCTTGGGATTCTCTCTCTCTCCATCTCCTCCCTCCCTCTCTTTCAAAATAAACTTGAAAAAAGAAACTCTTTAGAGAAAGATTTGAGGATGAGGGAATGAACTGTGTTTAACATTCCCATGGTTTTTATTCATTCAAATTCATTTTTTGTCTGTAGCATGTGTGTTAGATGATGAGGAAACTGTAGACATCTTAAGAAAATCCAAAACGACTTCAAATGCGATTTCCAAGCGCATCAAAGCGACAGAAAAAGCAGAAAGTGAAATCCAAACGCTGCGGGAACACTACCGGTCTGTCGCGACTCGAGGCGCCCTGCTCTACTTCCTCGTGGCCGGGCTCGCCCGCCTCAACTCCATGTACCAGTTCTCCCTGGACTGGTTTCGCCAGGTGTTCGTTCGATCAGTAGCTCCCCGGAGCAGAGAACAGGAACACGGCCTGAAGAGGGAGAAGACGTCTCAGAAAAAAGTTGGTGATATCACAGACCTCGCCAAGGAACCACAGTTCGAGAGCGACAGGCATCTCTTGGAGAAACATCTTCAACAGTCAGTAGATGTGCTGACAAGAAATGTTTTTAAGGTGAGACCTTCTCTTCTGTGACTTTTACAGACTTCTGCACAGGAGGAGGGCTAGTCTGACGTTAACGTTTCCCCCTAGGTGGTGTCCTCAGCTCTGTTTCACCAACACAAGCTGTGTTTCTCCTTCCGGCTTTGCACCACGATCATGCAGAATAATGCTGGGGGCAGTCCAGTGCCGGATGACATCGGGTCCCTACCGGACGAAGAATGGGACATCTTCTTACATTCCGACACGTTGACGAACGTTAAAGGTGTGATGCCCCAGCCTAGACTTAACAGTAAGTAAAAGGTCCTTGCTCTGGGTTCAGCAAAAACCTGTTAAAAACGTGTTTCCCTGAAAAACCCTGAGAGATGTTTAAGGTGCTCCAAGCCGGTGTTTCTATATGGACTAAACTAAAAGTAGCTTCAGGTCAAGTGTGACGTGTAATTCATCCTTGTATCTTCATCCGTTGAACATATAATTGGTGCTTAGTAATTGTTGAAGAAGTGAATGAATGAATGAATGAATGAATGGCGTTTGCTGTGGTTATTGTAATCCTGTTGTATTACACCGAATGCCCAGTGCTGGTCATTAAGGACACACGCACACACACGTACACACACACGCACACCCACACACTGATAAAATACCACCTAGAGCGAAACTTTACCCCTCCTAACCACGGTCCCCCTCAGTTTCTTATGAAAATTCCTTGAAAATTTGAATCACAAAAAATCATGCTTCTGCAAAATGGTTAGCAAAGCCACGTAAGTGCGGGATCTTTTCAAATCCTCCTGTGCTGCACATTTTTAAATATATTTATTTCTTAAATTGTGGTAAAATACACACAGCATAGAATTCACCTTCTCAGCTATTTTTAAGCATGCAGTTCAATGGCACATCGTAGTGCTGTGTTGGGACCTTAAGTCACAGGAAGTGTCCAGTTAAAGGTCATCTGATGCTGTCCCCGAGGGAGAAGAGGGGCTGGTTTGGAATGTCCTTGGCAAGTTTTTGAGACTATTAGCAGAGCATAGAAGTCAGAAGGGAAATACAAAAGAATTGCTCTTGAGGACACCAGACGTTTGGATAGTTTTGTTTTGGTTTTCATTTGTTTTTATTTTACTGAAGCCTGGTATGCGGATGTTCGGTAAATGACTGTTGAGTCAGTAAATGTTCTTATGAGTTTATTAAGATTGCTTTGCTTGCAGAAAAACAGACAATAACTCAGTATCTTGGGGCGCCTGGGTAGCTCAGTCAGTTGAGTGTCCGACTTTGGCTCAGGTTGTGATCTCGGTGTTCACGAGCTCGAGCCCCGCGTCGGGCTCTGTGCTGATGGCTGGGAGCCTGGAGCCTGCTTCGGATTCTGTGTCTCTGTCTCTCTCTGCCCCTCCCCTGCTCATGCTTCTCTCTCTATCAAACATAAAAACATTAAAAATTTTTTAATAACTCAATATCTTAAACCAAAAAATAAAATAAAAATGTTGAGAAGGAATCTGGGGTATCTCAGGAAACAGCAAGGTAAGTACACAGAGCCACGCAGCAGCACGAGAAGAGCGGTGACTGCTGTCACCACAACTCAGCGCCCAACAGTCCTCGGTCAGACCCCACGGGTCCGAGAGGGCGGGTCTGCGCGCCACAGCCCCAGTCAGGGACCCACTCCCGAACCCCTCACCTGTGACCAGGAGACAAGGCCGGCAGCCAAACAGCCAGCCCACTGGCATCCCCTACACTCGGAACCCTGAAAACATCTCCAGTGTATTTAAAGAAACAACAAACTTCAATAGCTTCCTTTATTATTATTATTATTATTATTATTATTATTATTATTATATAAGCAGCATGTGTTTATTAAGCAAACCATTACAACCTACAGAGAAGCAAAAAGAAGCAAATGAATCTTATGTAATTCCACAGTCCTGAGATAATCGCTGTTAATATTTTTGTGGTTTTTCCTTCCACTAGTTTTCCTCCCTATATGTCTTCTTTACATACATTCATACTCGTATAAGAATACTCCTGTATTCTTTAAGGTGACTGCTGAACAGACTTACACCTAACCTTTTTCAAATTAATGACATGTCACAAGGAGCTTCCTCTGCCAGGAAATAGACTTTTAATGTCTACACGACATTCCAGTTTTTGAATGGACCAAAACTCAAGTAACCACTCTCTTAAGTTAGAGACTTGGGTCTCGAAGCACTGTGATTGATATATAAAATATCCTTTTCTGTCCACAGGGACTGAAACTAGAAATCGATATCATATGAAAAATCCAAAATGTGGATATTAAATAACATACTCTTAACCAATGGGTCAAAGAAGTCACAAGGGAAATTAGAAAATATCTTGAGACAAATAAAAATGAAAACAATACGTCACTTATGGGATACAGCAAAAGTAATAGTAAGAAAGAAGTTTATAACTATAAATGCATACAATAAAAAAAAAACAGGTCTCAGGGCGTCTGGGTGGCTCAGTCAGTTAAGTGTCCGACTTCGGCTCAGGTCATGATGTTGTGGTCCGTGAGTTCAAGCCCCATATCAGGCTCTGTGCTGACAGCTCAGTCCAGAGCCTGCTTCTGATTCTATGTCTCCCTCTCTCTCACTCCTGCTCATGCTCTGTCTCTCTCTCTTTCTCTCTCTGTCTCTCAAAAATAAATAAAACATTAAAAAATATTTTAAGGGGCGCCTGGGTGGCTCAGTCGGTTAAGTATCCGACTTCAGCTCAGGTCGTGATCTCATGGTTCGTGGGTTCGAGCCCCGCGTCGGGCTCTGTGCCGACAGCTCAGAGCCTGGAGCCTGCTTCGGCTTCTGTGTCTCCCTCTCTCTGGCCCTCCCCAGCTCACGCTCTGTCTCTCTCTCTCTCAAAAACTAAATAAACATTAAAAAAAATTTTTTTTAATATTTAAAAAAACAGCTCTCAAATAAACTACCTCAAAGAACTAGCGAAAACAAAGAACTAACTAAACACAAAGCTAGCAGAAGGAAAGAAACAGGAAAGAATGAAGCACAAACAAAATAGAGAATTTAAAAAATAGAAAAGAAAACCTATAGCTGGCTTCTTGAAAATATCAACAAAATTAACAAAGTCTAAGCTAGAGTAATAAAATAAGACTTGAATAAAATCAGAAATGAAAGCAGAAACATTAAAACATGCTCAAAAATAAAAAGGATCATAGGGGACTACTATGAACAACTATATGCCAACCAGTTGGACAGCCTAGAAGAAATGGAAACACATAATCTACCAAGACTGAATCATGAAGAAATGGAAAATTTGAACAGACTTATAACAAGTAAGGAGATTGACTCATTCAGCAAAAATCTCCCAACGAAGAAAAGGCCTGGGCCAAATGGCTGCACGGGAAAATTCTACCAAACATTTAAAAAAGAATAAACACAAATTTTCCTGAAACTCTTCAAAAAAAATGAGGAGGAGGGAACACTTCCAAGCTTGTTTTGGAAGACCAGCGTTAACCTGATACCAAAGCCAGGGATTCCTTCAGAAAAGAAAACTAGAGACCAGTATTTCTGATGACTATAGATGTAAAATTTCTCAACAAAATACAGCAGACCAGATTCAATAGCCTATTAAAAGGATTACACGCCGTGACCAAGCGCAATTTATTTCTGGAATTGCAAGGGCATTTTTACATAAGGAAAACCAATCACTGTAACGACCACATTAACAGAATGAAGGACAAAACCACATGACCATTTTAATTGAGGCAGAAAAAAGCATCTGATAAGATTCAGCTCTTTCAGGATTAAAACCACTCCACAAACTGGGAATAGAAGCAAAGTACGTCCACACAGGAAAAGTCATTTGGGAAAAACCCACAGCTAACATTGTGCTCGGTGGTGAAACACTGAGGTTTTTCTCTAAGATCAGAAACAAGGCAAGGATGCCCCCTGCTCTCACCGCTTGTTTTTAACAACGGAAGTTAAAGGCAAACATTAGACAAGAAAAAGAAAGAAGAGACATCCAAATTGGGAAGGAAGAAGTAAAATTATCTTTGTTCACAGATGACATGATCTTCTATGTAAGAAAACTCTTAAGTGTCCACAAAACCCCTGTTACAGGTAGTAAACCAAAACAGCAAAGTTGCAAGATACAAAACCAATGTACATCATCAGGTGCTTTTTTATACATTAACAACAAGTAATATGAAAAGGAAATTAAGAAAACAATCCCATTTATAATAACATCAAAAGGAATAAAACACTTCGGAATAAACCTAACTGAGGAGGTGAAAGATGTGTACACTGAAAACTATAAAACGTTGCTGAAAAACATCAAAGACAACACAAATGAATGGAAAGACATCCCATGTTCATGGATTGGCATACTTAATATTGTTAAGATGTCCATACGAACCCAGAGCAATCTACAGATTCAGTGCAATTCCTAACACAATCCCAAAGGCACTTTTTGCAAGTCTAGAAAAATTCTTCCTAAAATTCATGTAGAATCCCCAGGGACTCTAAATAGACAAAACAATTCTGAAAAAGAAAAACGAAGTTGGAGGCATCATACTTCTTGGTGTCAAGCTCTAGTATAAGGCTACAGGAATGAAAACAGTCTGTCCCTGACATAAGGACAGCTAAAAGACCAATGGAGCAGAACAAATTAACCCTCACCTATATGGTCCAGTGATCTTCAATAAGGACGGAAAGACCACTCGGTGGAGGAGAGGACAGTCTCTTTAACAAACGGAGCCGGGAAAACTGGGTATCCACATGAAAAGAATGAAATCGGATCCTTATGCCAAATCAAAAACAAACTCGAAATGGATTCAAGATCTAAACGTAAGACCTAAAACTACAAAACTCTTAGAAGAAAGCCTAAGGGAAAAGTTTTCTGATACTGGAGTCGGCAGTGATCTCTTGGATATGACACCAGTGCACAGGCAACAAAAGCAAATACAGACAAATAGGACTACATCGAACTTAGGAACCTCAAAGGACACAAACAACAGAGTCAGAAGGCAACCTGTGGAATAGGAAAAGCTATTTCAAATTATACATCAATAAGGATATCATACTAATAAGGATATTGATGAGGAGTTAATGTACAGAGTACCTAAGGAACTCAATAACTCAACAACAACAAAAAATCAAATAACCCAATTTAAAAATGGGCAAAGGACTTGAATAGACGTTTCTCTAAAGATGATACACAAACGGCCAACAAGCATATGAAAAGATGTTCAACATCCTTAATCATCAGGAAATGCAAATCAAAAGATCATAATGAGATATCTCACACTCATTTGGATAGCTGCTGCAAAACAAAACAAAAACAGAAAATCACAAGCGCTGACAAGGATGTGTGGATATCAGAACCCTTGTGCATTCTTGGTGGGATTGTAAAATGGTGCAACTCTTAATGGAAAACAGCATGGAGGCCCCTCAAAAAATTAAAAATAAAACTACCGTATGATCCAGCAACACCGTATCTACGTACGTAGCCACAAGAATTGGAAGCAGGGTCTCAGACTGATATTTGCACACCTGTGTTCACGGCAGTACTGTTCACAACAGCCGATAGGTGCAAGCAACCCAGATATCCACCAACGGGTGAAGGGATAAACAAAATGGTGTATACGTGCAAGGGAATATTTTTCAGCCTCGAAAAGGAGGACAGCCTGTCACCTGCTACGGCATGGATGAACCTGGAGGACATCGTGCTGAGTGAAATAAGCCAGTCACAAGGAGACGAAGACTGTAACTGCACTTACACAACTCCAGGTATCTGGAGTGGCTGGGATCCTAGAAACAGGAAGTATGACAGGGGTGCCCAGGGGCTAGGGGAGGGCTGTTTCATGGGGACAGAGTTTCAGACTCTCAGGGGAAGTTCCGGAGATCTGTTTCACGACAATATGAACGTACGTAACACTGATGAACTCTACGCTTACAGTTGGCTAAGATGAGAAATTTTATGTGTTTTTGCCACAATAAAAAGTGGCCATTTGTGTAACTGATTTTTACATAACATGAGCTTTTCCTCAACAACAGATATTTATTAATCGTCTGCTTTTGGTGAGCAACTCAAAGGTCGAGAACATCGTCTCTTTTTAACATGCTCCTTTCCCATTCTCTATTAGACAGGTATGAAACTTGCAGAAATCGGCACCTTCAGTGGTTGTCGGATTCCACGTGGAAGCAGTGTCTGTACGTCAGCCACGAACTTGAACCGTTCGCTCTGCTGTGCGAGTCCCTTCTATCAAATGTGTCACAGTGGGACGCTTTCAAAAGCAGTGAGGCTGTCTATTGCCTGATGAGCCTGCCTTTCTCTCCAGAAAAGGCTCCACCGGAGGGAAGTAAGAGAGCATTCAACGTTCTGTTTACTCTGACCTAGTCGCGCGTGTGCGTGTGTGTGGATTGTCAGCTTACACACGTGGCTCGATATCTTATGAGAAAATCGCAGGGAGGAACGTAGCTCAGCTGTGAGCCCGGCTCGTGTCGCTTAATGCAGGCTTCACGCGGGTCTTGCGACTGAGCATGAACTCGGGCGGCGCCTGCGCCACCCACCGCCACACGTGCACCCCACCCGTGTCCCATGGGTCGTTTTATGCAGCAGGTGCGCTCTGGAAGTCGCTCACTGCAGATGGCGCTGTTTTCGGCACACCTGCCCTGTCGCGTCTGCCCCTCGGGCGCCCTGCCCTGCTCGCTGCCCCCTGACCTCCACCCACATCCTAGCATGTCTCCCTCCACACTCCTCTCCACTCTTCTTCCACATTCCTGTCACAAGATGCCACTCTGTCTCGCGGGAACCGACACATCCTTACAGGCATTTCCTTTGGTCTTTTTCCTTGGGACAGGCGGCCAGAAAGGGACCTCGTGGATCAAAAGCATATTATTTTTATGGTAATAGATTGCCGCTAGGTTGCTTGTCTGAAAAGTCCAGCATAATTTCTGTTTCCACCAGCGATACATGACTTCCTCTTTTCCAAGAGGGCTATTGATTTTTTGGTAACTTTTGCCAATCTGAAGACGTTAAGGTACTCTAACTTGGATTTCCTGGCCAGCACTACATTTAAGTACCTTCTCGGGTGTTTGTTGACCATTTGGATTTACCTGTTTATGTACTCGGCCCATTTTTCTACTGAATTGCTTATTCTTCTTTGGCCATCTGTAAGAACCCTACTGGTGTAATCGATGATCAGCTTTGTTTCGTTGAGGATGCTAACTTGTTCGTTCAAGTATTTTTACAAATCGGCCACTGTCGGTTGGATTTATCGATGGTGTCTGTGCCAGCCATGCTGAAGTGTCTGTGTGGCCAGTAGTCACGTCTATTTTTCTTTTACAGCTTCCTGATTTCCAGTTCTGATTTCGAAGCTCTCCTCCCCGCCCCCCCCGCCCCCCCCCCCCGCCCCCGGTCATTATTTTGTAAAGTGAAGATCTTTTTATTTTAGGGGGAACAAAACGATGTATCCATTTGTAACTAGACTTTCATATATCGTAGGCTTTTTTTTCTAAGACCAGCAAACCTATTTTCACTCTATTCAAAAAAGCTATTTCTATAATCCAAGTTGTATTTAAAGGTAGACGCTGGGGAAGGGAAATACCTAGGGATAGGAGGTAGGTAGGAACCATGACTGCGTCGGGGATGGCTGGAAGCGAAACCAGAAGGCTCCCCACCTCGTGGGGGCGGGTGAGCCCAGAGGACCCTGTGGCAGCACGAAACAACCAGATATGGATAATAGTCAGTTTTTCCAAAATTTAGGAATCGTGTTGTGTTTCCATTTAATTCTCATGTCCCATATCTGTTACGGGTAGATTATGAATAGAAATCTCTTTTTTGTATATATTTAAAAAAAAATTTTTTTAATGTTTATTTATTTTTGAGAGAGACAGAGACAGAGTGTAAGCACGGGAGGGGCAGAGAGAGAGGGAGACACAGAATCCGAAGCAGGCTCCAAGCTCCGAGCTGTCAGCGCAGAGCCCGATACGGGGCTCGAACCCACGAACCACGAGATCATGACCTGAGCTGAAGTCGGATGCCTAACCGACTGAGCCGCCCAGGCGCCCCATGAATAGAAATGTCTAACCCCTAGAGTTATCAGTTTGTATTCACCAGGAAAGCATGTATTCACATGCAGAGCAGGTTAGGAAGTGTCGGCCAAGCCCTGCTCCCTGGCCCGAGGTCCACCTCACCTGTGACCTCGAGGACCCCTCAGGTCTTATAGGAATAAAGTTCACTTTAAAAGAAGTCAGCCATGTCTAAAAAAAAAAAAAAACTGACAGTTTTATGCTAAAATTTTCATCGCGGTGTCTCTTTAGTGACCCAGGGCATTTGACTGTCCATCTCTGTGTCTCTCTCTAAATTTTATCTAGCTGCACTTCTGACTGAAGTTGAAGAAATATATAGTCCTGTGAATTTCCACTGGGAGAAACTCACTCCATTTCAAAGACTCATCCTGGTAAGATGCGCTACAAGAAAGTAGTGATGTTCTCAGTGTTTTGAGCACTTTAGCAGTAACTGAAACCATTCCAATTTAAATTGTTATTAGCAAAATACGTGGATTTTACAAGGAATGTTGATGTTGGAGGGAAGCAGTCAGCTCCTTACTGTTTCTTTTGTGCGGAGCGTCCAGTCGGGTGGGTGGTGCTCCGCGCCCCCCCTCCCTCCCCCCAGGGGGCGAGGACTTAGAAAGTGGGTACATTTGAGAGATGAACAGGCCTTCTCCCCAGCCCCTTTCAGGACCCGCCTACTTCTTCCAAGTACATCATCCTGGATTCACCCTTATCACCCAAAAAACTCCTTTTATTTCCTCATCCGCCATCTAGTTTAGTGATGGAGAAATCCCTCCTCTCTCTCCCACCTCCGCCCCGACTTCTGCAAACAGCAGCCTCGACAGCCGGTAACCCTTCGATTTCTGCCTTAAATTTTATTCTTGTAACACTTTAAAATTTACTCCAGAGGGTGATTGCCCCAAACACTGCATGTGGCTTATAGACATGTTCACTTTGTCTTGCTTGTCTCAACATTTCGAGTGTAATTTGTCCCAGACCAGTGGATCTGAACCTATGGAGATCTTTCTTACGAGACTTCAAAGTCTTGAGGAAAGAGAACCAGACTAACACAAAGATACATTTAAGCCATGTTAACACGAATGCTGGGCACCAGTCTGCGGGTAGGACTCCCCGTGTGGAAGAAGCGATGTGCGCACGCGCACAGAGAATGGAAGGAGCCGCAAGAAACGACAGTGGTCTTCTAGAAAACAGGGCCTTCACTTTTCAACTTCTGCCTTTTCGTATCACTCGAGTTTTATGTAGCCAGTATGTATGACCTTCACGGAGAAATTAACTGGTCGTTAAGGCCTCTGCTACATTTCCTTGGCCCGGTAAGCGCCAGGTGATCTCCACTTGTGAACTGCAAACTTTGTGAGTATACTGATCCCGTTTTCCCAAACCCACAGTCGGAAGACCTGGTCTGATAAAGTGTTGCATGTACGTACAAAGAAACCGGTTAGGATATTTGAAACGGGGCCTGACCTGTAAGAGTCAGAAACTGAGACGCCCCCTGCGAGATGAAGTGAGACTAGATTAGAAAGAAGGCGGGGCGCCCGGGGAAGGACGATACCGCAGAGCCCCATCAGGACAAGGCCCGGTCCGGTCAGCGCACCGCTCCCCATCGCGACGGCCTGCCAGACAGGAGAGCGGCCGGGAAGGATGGCAACGGGGGGACACGGACGCCAGGAAACTTTCCAGAACCGCTCGTGGCTGCTTGGAAAAGAGTTCAGCACACCCCCGACCTACAGTGCTGCTCTGTTGGCCAGTAAAGTAAGGGGGGCGGGGGGTACACTCACATCTGGGAGCACAGACCCTGGGCGGTGACACCCTCAGTGGTGACGTGTCGGGACCACACCTCACTGTCTGCTGGCCTCAGCTGATTCTAACGCTTCCACTCACTGGACACACTGGCCGAGCTGGGCCCTTAGACCCCAGATGCTCTGTGTGTGGCCGATACTCATTTAAAAATATATACACACAGGGGCTCCCGGGGAGGGGCTCAGTGGGTTCAGCGTCCGACTCTTGATTTCGGCTCAGGTCACGATCTCTCAGTTTGTGAGATCGAACCCCGTGTTGGGCTCTGTGCTGACAGTGCAGAGCCTGCTTGGGATTCTCTCTCTCCCTCTCGCTCTGCCCCTCCGCCCCCCTCAAAATAAATAATAAATTTTGTAAAGACTTGAAAGAAAAATATATATATAGACACACACATACATGCTCCACTTAAGTCAAATAAAATTAAGATTAATTTTTCCAAGAAATAACAGAAAAGATTCGAATTTGATGTATTGATCACATGTATTATGTTAAACAGTGACTTTGCCGATATTTGACGGATTTGACATGTAAAAATGGCAACTTCCCACGGTCCAGCCCAGGGCACCCTCACAGACCCACACGGTTTCAGCTTTGCCTTAACTGGCGGACTCTCTGATGCTGAAAATGCTCAGGACAGAATCCATGGTCAGTTCCCAGAGAGCACAGAAGTGGCTCGTTTGAAACGATTTTCATGCCGAAGGTGTTTCCTCCAAGAGGTGCAGTGATTTCTTCCGACGGGCCCTGAGCCCCTCTACTCACCACGTGGACACGGTTTCCAAAACCTTTCGGTCCCGCTAGAGTTCTTTCTCGATCCGCACCCAGCTTGCTGGGCTGTTTATCTCCATGTTGTTACTAGAGGAGCCAGGGCGCTCCTGACTTCCATCCACACGCGGTGGGGTCTTCCTGCTCCAGACGCAGACAGCGGGGAGGATGTGCCCACGAGAAATCGGGGACCATAACCTGGATCTCACGTCCGAGGCAAGATCTCTGTCAGAGTGTGAGAGACAGAGGCCCCGAGGAAGGGCCACGTGAGGGCCCCCGAGCGGTGGCCGCGGTCTCCCCACCGCACAGACCCGCCCGCTGCAGTTTCCCAGAACGAGGGACACCGCAGAGCTCCGGGGACGAGAATGACGAACGCCTCCTTGTTTGGTTCCGTTTTGCCACAGGGAACGTGCCTTTGGTGCTTTCTCTTTCAGATCAAAATTCTTCAGCCGGAGCAGCTAAAGAATTCAGTGAGAAGGTTTGTAACTGAAAAAATGGGAGATGAATATGCTCTCAGGACTGGAATTCGTTTGCAAGAGTCCTATGAGGGATCCAGTGCCACAACGCCACTGATACTTCTGCACTCCCACGGTAAGAGGCCCGTGCGGCGCTCACCAAATGGGGCGCCGGGGGCTCTGTCGGCGAGGCGTCCGACTCTGGGTTTCGGCTCGGGTCACGATTTCATGGTTCGTGAGTTCAAGACCCACGTCGGGCCCTGTGGTGATGGCGTGGAGCCTGCTTGGGATATTCTCTCTCTCTCTCTCTCTCTCTCTCTCTCTCTCTCTCTCTCTCTCTCTCAAAATAAATAAACTTTTAAAAAAGGCGTAGAGAAGTAGGTTCTGTGTTGGGTATTTTTATGTTTAAAGTCTTTTCCTATTCTTACTTACATAATTGGGGAAAGGGACAGATTAAAACGTTAAGTTACATGAAGACTGAATGTTTCCAAAAATGTAAAAGAACAAAGAAGAATACAATTTCCCGGATTCATAACCTAACCGTGGAAAAACTTACCGGTACCAATTTTCTGTGCAGAATATATCTCCTAAACACATATTATTGATCTGGAAGTTGGGACTGCCCTTGTATTTATCAACTGTTTTAATATGTTAGCTCATGAATATGTATATAAAACAAACCATCAGAAAGCGGCCCCGTCCACCCAGCCCTTGTATTCCTCAAAGCTCCAAATGCTTTTTCCCTTGTCTTTGCCCAACAGACCCTAAGCGAAGTATTTTAACTCACCTTTTATTCTTCATCATCTCCAGATCAAATATGTCTTTAGAATTCACCATTTTCAAACTTTGATTCTATTAGGCAAAAAAGAATTAGAAAAGTGTGTCCTTGTGGAGGCTTTGTCTCTCTAACCTTTCATGTAAAGCAGCCACTCTGTGCCTGACACACTCATAGTAGGTGCTGTGCATTTCCTGAGGACGTAGCCCAGGGTGGCTGCCGGGGCTCCAGCCCTCACGCCCACACTCCAAACAATATATAGAATGGAAGAAAGGAAGTATTATACAACAATTGAACAAACTGCTACCAACTTAGATGCCCATACCTAGCTGCTAAAAATGAAGTATTTCAGCTGGGGACACAGTCATCTTGGGTAACATTGGGGTCAGCTGCTAAGGAGAGGGGGACAACTAGATGCTGGAGCAGATAACCAGCAGTCACTGCTGCAGGTAGGTACTGTCACCCCCATATGTTAGAAAACCCAGGCCACCCAGTTAGTAGCAGAACCAAGATCTGAACTCCGTGTGTGACCCAAACCCTGTAGTTTCCCCTCCGTGACTGCGCCTCCTGCCACAACCCCATCATCACTAGGTTGCGTTTTTTTAAGAGGGAACGAAATGCATTTACAACAGGGTGCACGTTTCCACGTTGTTCCAGGGACTGACCTCACCAACATGCTCCTGAGGTTCGCGCAAGAGTTAAAAGGAAGAACGCAGCATGTGACGGTGCTTTCCCTGGGCCGTGGCCAGGCCGCTAAGGCAGAGGAGGTCCTTGTGAAGGCCCTGAGCAGCCCCACACAGTGGGTCTTCCTCCAGAACTGCCATCTCGCCACGTCGTTCATGCCACGGCTCTGCTCCATCATAGAATCGTAAGAGGCTTACGTGTATTTGTAAGGGATCCGCTAAGTACCAAAACAGTGGGATGAGGGGCGCCTGGGGGGGGGGGGGCTCCATCGGTTGAGCCTCCGACTCTTGATTTCGGCTCAGGTCACGATCTCGTGGTTCACGAGTTCAAGCCCCGCGTCGGGCTCCGTGCTGACAGTGTGGAGCCTGCTTGGGATTCTCTCTGCCTTCCCCTCTCTCTGCCCCTCCCTCCTCCCTCTCTCAAAATAAATAAATAATCTTTAAAAAAAAAAAACAAAAACAGAGAAAAACAATGAGGTGAAAGTGGAAATGAACGCATTTAAGCAATAATAAAGTAAAGTGCTGGGCCACTCGGGGGAAAATTAAGCTTTCTTACCTGGGTTCTTTTTGCCCCAAGAACTTTATTTTTTTTTTTTAATTTTTTTTTCAACGTTTTTATTTATTTATGGGACAGAGAGAGACAGAGCATGAACGGGGGAGGGGCAGAGAGAGAGGGAGACACAGAATCGGAAACAGGCTCCAGGCTCTGAGCCATCAGCCCAGAGCCCGACGTGGGGCTCGAACTCACGGACCGCGAGATCGTGACCTGGCTGAAGTCGGACGCTTAACCGACTGCACCACCCAGGCGCCCCTGCCCTAAGAACTTTAAAACTCCACTAAGAATACGTCGGTTTTACAGGGAAAAAAAGCCTCCCTGACTGTTGCTCTCCATTCCGTTGCCCACTTTCTCCTCCTCAGCCCTCCCTCTCAGCAGAAAACATGCCCCACGCACACACGTGTGCATCCAGACCTTAGATTTTAACATTCTACACGATTCCAAACAGCTCCTGTCCCTCCTTTCTGGCCTATCCTTAGCGCTTCCTCTGACTTTCTCTGGCTCCGTCCCGTTGCAAAGAGACGCTCACTCAGGCAGAAGCTGCCCTGCCGGGGCTCGGGCTTCCAGTTGGCGGTGGAAGTAGCTGGAAGGTAGTTATGCTAACACGGAGCGGCGGTGGGCGGGGTTTAAACTGGTCGAGTGAGTTTTAACCGGTTGCCATCGATAGTTTTCTCTCCAACGGTTCACTTGTGTCGGCCTCACCTGTGTGGTCGCGCTGTCCTGTGAGTGCGTGCACATGTGTGTGTGTAAGGCCCTCCCCTTCACACTATGTTCTAAGGCTGGGCACACCCACAGGGAACCAGAAGCCAAATGCACCTGCCTCAATTAAATTTCTAAAAGCTTCGCTAGGATCGTCCGTTCTGTTCTGACTCCTGTGCCTTCAACAGTTTACAAAGTTCTTAATAATCTCCTCGTATGTACTTTGCCATTTAAGAGCCAGAAGACGGGCGCCCGGGTGGCGCAGTCGGTCAAGCGGCCGACTTCGGCTCGGGTCACGATCTCGCGGTCCGTGAGTTCGAGCCCCGCGTCGGGCTCTGAGCTGACAGCTCAGGGCCTGGAGCCTGTTTCCGATTCTGTGTCTCCCTCTCTCTCTGCCCCTCCCCCGTTCATGCTCTGTCTCTGTCTCAAAAATAAATAAATGTTAAAAAAAAAAATTAAAAAAAAAAGAGCCAGAAGACAAGACTGCTCAGTGGTGTAATTTCAGTACTTGTAAACCTTGGAAGGCGACATGATAATTCCCGCCACGCCCCTCATTCATTAGTCATTCGAACACTACCAACAGGGCACCTGCCAAGAATCAGTCTAGGGACTGTGCGCGGGAGGGACCAGACGACGTCGGTCAGCCTTCCAGAGTGCGCTAGGCTCGAGAACAACAGAATGGCAGATAGCAATGTATCATTTAAAAAGAGAGACTAGTCGGGGCGCCTGCGAGGCTCAGTCGGGTGAGCGTCTCGGTTTCGTCTCAGGTCATGATCGCACAGTTTGTGAGTTCAAGTCCAGCATCGGACTCAGCACCGGTGCAGAGCCTGCTTGGGATCCTCTCTCTCTCTCTCTGCCCTTCCCCTGCTCTCTCTCTCCCTCTCTCAAAAATAAATGAATAAATAACCTTAAAAAAAACTTTTAAAAAAAGAAAAAGAGAAATTAGAGGAATGTTCTTCAGAACAGAATTTCAGAAGCTTAATAAAAGTAGTTAACAGCGCATAAAAAAAAAAAAGCAGTCTATGTAGTCAGAGTATAATTAAGAGGAATTCACACTTCTTTATCAAATCAAGCCTTTAAGGGTTTAAGACTACAGCCTACTATGAGAGAGAAAACTGTGAAGCAAATTTCTTAGATTTAAGAGTTAAGGAAATGTGTTCACAACACATTACTAAGGAAAACTATCGGGCTACAAACCATATTACAGTGTACTGTTTTTATTTAAAAAAAGAGAAAGAGAAAAGGAAAGGCGTACTTATACCTAGTTAGTGGGATTTTACTGGGTGGGTGTTTATTCTGAGAGAGAGAGAAAAAAAACACAAGTAGGGGAGGGGCAGAGAGAGAGGCAGAGCAAACCCCAGGTCAACTCCGCGCTCGGTACGGAGCCTGAAGTGCGGCTCGAACTCAACCAACGGTGAGATCGTGACCTGAGCTGAAACCGAGTGAGAGGTTCAACCAACTGAGCCAGCCAGAGCCCCAGGGTTTTAGTTTATTTTTGTTTTTCTGTTTAATTCTGTGTTTGATTTTTGTTGTTGTTGTCTTTTGGGTTCTGTGGGGTTGTTTCATTGTTTGTTTGTTTTGCTTTTGTTGTTTGGATTTGTTTTGCACATTTGACAAAAATAATCAGACATGCAGAAAAGCTGCACGAACAGGATGACCGCTCCCCTCCCCCGCCCTCTGGTTCCCGGTTGTTAACATTGGCCATTTCTTGTCTTTCGCTTGTTCATACATTTGTATGTAATTCTTTTCTGAATCATTGGAAGCCAGCTGAGAACATGATGCCGCTTGGTCCTCAGACACGCCAGTGTGCTCACCGATGATCTGATCACCTCAGTCCTACCTAGCCCGCTGGCCCCCAAATAACATCTTTTACTGCAAAAAAAAAAAAAAAAAAAAAAAAAATTCTGGTCCAGGTTCTCATTCAGGATTTCTCATTGCATTCAGCTGTCTTGGCTCTTAAATCCTCCTTATTCTAGATCGTTCCTCAGTCTTTGTCTTTCATAACTTGGACAGTTCTGAAAAGCACCAGCCGGTTCCATCCGTTTGGTTTGCCTGCCGTTTTCTCACGGTCAGACTGTGGTTACGCGGTATTGCAGAAAAGCCACACAGTACATTTGTGTCCCTGGTGCATCGTATCGAGAGCACACAGTTGGGATTTTTTTTTTAATCTTTAACGTCTATTTTTGAGAGAGAGAGAGCATGCAAGCTGGGAAGGAGCATAGAGAGAGGGAGACACAGAATCCGAAGCAGGCTCCAGGCTCCGAGCTGTCAGCACAGAGCCCGACACGGGGCTCGAACTCACAGACCATGAGATCTCATGACCTGGGCCGAAGTCGCATGCTTAACTGACTGAGCCACCCAGGTGCCCCTTCTTAGTTCTGATTAAAACCTGCTTTTAGCTCTATCTCGGTTACACGGGACCATTTCACGAAAGTAACAGTATCTGTTGCTTTCAAAACGTGTGTGCATTTGCACACGTGTGTGTGTGTGCTTGCACATGTGGGGTCCTCAGTTGCCTGAGGTTCCCAGTTCTCATTCATGGGTACAGGTTGGTGCTTTTTACAATCTTTTATTTATTTATTTATTTATTTATTTATTTATTTATTTATTTATTTTTGAATTAAAAAAGCATGAACAGGGGAGGAACAGAGAGAGAGGGAGACACAGAATCCGAAGCGGGCTCCAGGCTCTGAGCTGTCAGCACAGCTGACAGCCCCGACGCGGGGCTCGAACTCACAGACCGTGAGATCATGACCTGAGCCGAAGTCGGGCGCTCAACCGACTGAGCCACCCAGGCACCACCATTGGGAATTTTTGACTGAATTATGGCTTTATTATTTGCCAAACAGTGACTTTCTAATTCCACAATTCCTTCTAAATTTATTAAGTGATGTTCTTTCCTAAGGAGGAGGCTTACCTTCTCCTGCATTTATTCATTGGCTTCTTTGTATCAATCATGTTCCTGTTTTATTCGATGGATAATCTGTGGCCACCGTCACTTATTTCGACGTTGTTGTTCCAGATTTGACCGGGGAAACACTTCACTCACTTTGTTCTTAATTTGTACTTTTTCCAAGGATTTTTGCAGTGCGCACTCTTGAGCTTAGGTGGAAAAACTACTTTTCAAAGCTGGGCCTTACTGGGTCTTATGCAGATCCCTGCGTCGTCGCAGGAGAGGGAGAGCTGGGGGGGGCTCATACACGATTTTTTAAATGAGCTCTGGGTCACTTCCAACATGGAGATTCTGGGATTCCTAAAAACATGTTGGTTTGGCTTGACTATTTTTCATCAAACTAGGTTATCGCCCTTCTGTTTTGCAGATTTAACAGCCCAGATGTGACAGTGGACCCTGAGTTCAGGCTGTGGTTAAGCTCAAAGTCGGGCAGTTCTTTCCTGATTCCTATTCTTCAGAGGAGCTTAAAGGTACGGACAAAGCAGGACGGGGCTTGGTATTGACTGAGGCACACTGAAAGTAAATTGTCTTGTGTTCATAACTCGGATTTCGAAGAGGGTGCTGAGTGTAGCACGCCGAGTCTCTCCTCTGCGCTCGGCCCTGCACTGTGGTCCAGGAGGGACACTAACACAGCAGGCCAGATCCCTGCTTCCAAGAGACTCACAGCTCGCTGGACATTTTCTCAAACAGGGATGCTAAGACTTCCGGCGCCTGTGACCCGGAGCCCGGGGTCTGTGTCCTCTGGCTGGCCGTTTGGCCCAGGCTTTTCCTGCCTCTGCTGCCCTGCCACCCCACAGCTCATTCTCTGAACGGCTCTGGCAGAGAGCAGCCACAGAGCAGGTGTTGGGGACAGGGGCCCGAAGGGCGGCCTCGCGGAACATTTCACCTCAAGCAGGTCCGTCGCTGCGCTTAGCAAGCCACGGCTGCGCTTCAGATGTTAGCAACTTTCTTCCCCAGAGTCACACTTTCTCTCTCCCTCCCGCCTTCCCCCTCACATGTGCTTCCTTACGCGGGTGCGAGGCACGAGCAGGAGGCTCCAAAGATCAGTAATGACAGGGAACACAACGAAAATGCCTCATTCCCGCATCCTCAGGGCTTTCGCAGCCAAACTTGCTGGCCATCTGCAGTGAAGGGAATTCGAAAGGTCAACATGCTGGGAGGTACGGAATACCCACTCCACGGGGCGCTCTCCAGGCCCCGGGGCCGCAGTGTGAGAGTCTTAGGCTCCGGGGCGGGGACCGGTCCCTCCTTCTCTCTCCCCGGAGAGGATCTGATTGTGCTCCCCCAGCAAACCCGCGTTTCTCTATCCCTGGAAGGAGGGGCTGCTGTGCCGGACACTGGCCGTCCAGATAAGCAGCGAGGTCCTCTTCCGGGACACAGACCCCGCTGCGCACTCAGGATACATCCGACTCCCACTGGGTGGCCCTGGGGGGCATCAGAGCCTGGCACCAGGAGCGGCTCTGCGAGTGGTCGGTCTGAGCCTTGACCCGGAAACCTGCCGTTCACATACACGCGTGTCCGTGTATCACCTACGCGTTCCCACCCTCGGATCCTCACACGTGCACACGCACACAGCTTGTATGTGTTTGTGTACAATGTGCAGACGAGGGAGCTTTGCAGACACCTCACGGTTTCAACAGTTAACAGCCACGCTCTTTTTTTTTTTAATTTTTTTTAATGTTTATTGATTTTTGAGAGAGAGAGAGAGACAGAGCATGAACAGGGGTGGGTCAGAGAGAGAGAGGGAGACACAGAATATGAAACAGGCTCCAGGTTCTGAGCTGTCAGCACAGAGCCCGACGCGGGGCTCGAACCCACAGACGGTGAGATCATGACCTGAGCCGAAGTCGGATGCCCAACCGACTGAGCCACCCAGGCGCCCCCCACACTCTTTTTTTTAAATTGAGTCCTATCTTCTTCTTCTTTTTGAGTTTATTTATTTATTTATTTGGAGAGAGAGGGAGAGAGAAAGAGAAACATCCCAAGCAGGTTCCGCGCTGTCAGCACAGAGCCCGACAGGGAGCCCGAACCCACGACCCCGGGATGACGACCTGAGCCGAAATCGAGAGTCGGACGCTCAGCCGACTGAGCCACCCAGGCGCCCGATGGTGTTACACTTTTCGTTTTAAAATCTGAATTGGAACAATAGGGAATCTGGTACAGTCCTCTTACGGAAACTTTCAAGTGAAAAAAGAATTAACCCGGGATTTTTGTTTTGCCCTCTTAGCCAGTCCCCTGCCCCGCTCTGTCCCCTCTAGACCTGGTGCCTGTGTCTCATGTGTGGTCCTTCTCACACCTGTTCTCAAGATTGCAGTGGAAAATCCGCAAGGATTGAAAAGTAACTTACTGCAGACGTTTGGATACAGTGGCAGTGGAGTGGTGACAGAAGAGACATTTGAAAAACTGGACTGTGGACCGTGGTGGAAAAAGCTTTTATTCGGCTTATGTTTTTTCAATGCTCTAATCAATGAGAGAAAAAATTATGGAACACTGGGCTGGAATATTGCTTACAAATTTAGTTCTTCAGACTTGGAGGTAAGTGCCATACCTTCAAAATAAACGGTAACAACAAATGAATAACAATATATACAAACTACACGACACTGAGTGTTTTTCCCGTGAACTCCGTAACTAGGTAACAAAGGCTAATGTTTCAAAGCTTGGATCTCCGCGCCGGCTTTTCTGGAAACAGATCACAGCTCTCCCGCTTATAGATGTACCAGTGTTTACTCTGTTGGGCGAGCTCATTAACTCTCAGGGTCTTGGTCCTGGACCAAGGAAGGAAAAAGCAGGATGAGGGAAGGCAAGCCAGATGTTACACCCACTCGAAAGGGCACCGAACGAGGCAGGCTAATTAACATAGGTCACGCAGCACAGTGCGTGACGCACAGAAACCGCTCGAAATGTTTGCGGTTTCTGCTGGAGTTGTGTAAAGTAGGAGAGAGCGCACTGACCCACTGGGGGAGGGGCACAGCTTAGGAGTCTTTCTTTACTGTTCTCTGTCTAGAACCTTCTCTCTGCTTCCTAATGCATGGTACTTTTTTATTGCTAAGGTAAACATGTGGCGACGCCTGCTTAAACTTTCGCCAGGTTAGATTATAGGCCAAAAACCTGAGCAAAATCTTCATTCCGCCTCTGGGTGTCCGCCACCTAGACCCGCCCGGACGGGCGCCCTCCCGTCTCTTCTGCATCCTCATTGGGCTTCTCGGCGCTCACGCCCTCTGCAAGTCAGAGTATGTGCCTCTGCCCCTCACCAGACAGGACACCGAACGGCTGTGCTCTGGGCTTTTGTCAAGGGATATGGGCTCAAGCACTTTGTCACACCCCACTCAGTCAGCAGGCTGACTGACGACACATTGGGGGAAACGCCTGTGGCATCTACTATGTCAATGGCTAATATGCCAATATGCTACCTGTATGAGGATTCCTTGTACACTAAGAAGAGAAAGAAAACACCCCAATGGGTGAAGGACCCGGAGAGGCAGTTCACAGTAGAAATACAAAAAGGCAATCAGGTGACGAAACTTTGCTCAATTTCATTAGTAGTGGTGCTGTTCATTTTACATATGAACTTGACTGGACCCCAAGACCCCCAGGTATTTGGCCAAACGTTGTTTTGAGTATGTTTGTGAGGATGTTTCTGGGTGAGATTCATATTCAAACCGGTAGGTCATAAAGCAGATCCCTCTCCCCGATGTGGGTGGGCCTCGTCCAGTAGGTCGAAGGACTGACTAGAACAGAAAGGAAATCCTCCTGCCTGTCTGCCTTTGAGCCGGAACACTGGCTTTTTCCAGCCTCTGGACTTGAACTGAAACATCGGCTCTTTCGGGGCCTCCAGACAGGAAGTGCACCGTCGTCTCTCCTGCGTCTGTGGCCACAGGTCTGGAGATTTGTCAGTCTCCGTAATTACGTGAGCCAGGTCCTAACAGCAAGTCTCTCTGCATGTGTGCTCCTCACCTGGCTCTCTGGAGAACACGGACTCCTACAGCCGTCAGGGAAATGCTCGTTAAAGCCGCAGTGAGATACCACCTTTCGCAACCACAGTGGCTAAAACAACGGCACAGAGAGGCAGGAACTGTCGCTAACTTTCTGGAAGGCAACTTGGTAATCTGTATCAAAATTCTTCAAAGAATTCCTATGATCGTTGATGTAGAAAGAAAGAGTCACATTGACAGGACTGATCAGGAAAATTGGTTATAACCGAGCCCGTCAGCAGGATTTCATTCTGCGTGTATATATAATTCATCTCTCTTACAAGTGATTTTCTAGAAAATGTATCCTAAACCACCTGCAGGGGAACGGACGGTAGGAAGTGGGTGGCCCGGTGTCAGCAGGTCTTCTGTCGCCGCAGAGCGCGTGTGAACTTGGCGCAGGCTGGCATGCCCGGGGTGCTGATGCTCTCTTGCGTTTTGCAGAGAGGCTTGCTCAAGCCGGACGCAGCTGGCTACATCATGGCGCTGTTGTCCAGAAGAGGACAACCGTCCCTCCCCTCCCTCCTTCCCCCTCTCTGTGCGGCGCGTGCGACAGCAGCCTTGGCAGTGGAGGGAAAGACCCTGCGGATGCCGAGCCGACGGTCTGGAAGTTCTGGGAGCTTTGCGGGAAACTGGATTTATGCACGGCCCCCCTCGTTAAGGAAGTGGGAACTTCTAGTTCCCTGGGAAGTTGAGTTTGGACACAGCTCCCCCCACTAGGGGGAGCGCCCGGCCAGCCAGCCGGGTCAGGCAGCTTGGGGTGTCCTGGGGGACCCTCAAGGTGACCGTGTCTACTGGGCCAAGCACCAGTGCATTCTCCACCACGCACAGGCTACGGCCCCCGAAAGCCCCCCAAAACCTGGGCCTGAGCCCCAAGGGCAAGACCGAGAAAATCACATACCTAATGCGATCCAGTGGCCAGAGAGAGAAAGAACAGGAAACGGAACAAGCAATGGAACAGAAAATTGTAAGAGCCCGAAAGGATATACACGCTTCACACACACGCACGTATTTCACACACATGATGTTTGTGAGTGAGCCCGTGTCAGTTTCTTTTTACCTTCTTGACGGAAGAGGCAGCAAGATGGTAAAACTGACTTCTAAAAATATAGGAAAGAAGTTTCTGGAAATAGAGAGAGAGAGAGGCATGAAATACGATTGCCAAGTCGCATCCCGAACTGATAAATGCCCTACGGGCAATAAAACTGTGCCTTTGGTCTGTAATTTTCTTGACGAGCCAGACACCGTTTGTGTGTCTGAGGGACAGAAGTCGTCCGCGTTCTTCTCAGAAGGAAGCACGTGCAGGCCGTCGGCTTTCTGTAAACTGGACTCGGACAGAACTCTGGGTGCTCTGACCAATAGCACGTCAGAACACAAGTGGGTGCTCCTGGAGCACTTGAGCGTCCGTGAAAGAGCGCCGGATGCTGCCCCCGCGTGACGTGGAACAGACGTGTGCTCGCCCTTCGACCTCCTCCCCCGTTCTGGAGTTTTTACTTTCGTCCTAACAGCTCTGGTTATGATTTGCATAACCTCCAAAGGTTATTCGTTATCACAAAATAACAGGGCGGGGGTCGGGGCGCTTGGCCCCGGTTTGCAGGGGCAGGCCAGAGGCGCATCGGTGCCCAGGCCCCGCACACCGTCGTCAGCAGACGCCGCGCACCGAGACTTATGAGCTAAACGCGAAATGAGACGGGGGGGGGGGGGGGGGGGGGGGGGGGGCAGTGGTGGTGGTGCAAAGTCGAGTCAACGGCCGGAAAGATCAGATAGAAGGAACACCCCGAGCACGAGAAGGAAATGACAAAACGACGGAGATCACGAGGGACAATTAAGATGTCTGAAGAGTAACCTCACCTTCAAACGACAGGGATTCCGGCCGAGAAGATGGAGAAAAACAAAGTAGGAAGAAAGCGGTTTTACTTCCCCCCCCCCCCCCCCCCGACTGACGACAACAGATGGACAACAGATGGGAGTCTGCGGACTGAGAACGCTCACGGAGCTGGCACGAGCTGTGACGACCCCTGGTGGCGCTAGGCTGGTCAGGGGTCCCTCCAGAAGGCAGTGGGGGAGCAGGCACGCCGGCCCGGAGAAGGCTGTGTGGGGGTCCCGCAGTGCGGGGTGATTCCTGCATGGGGTCCCGCACAAAGGGAAGTCCTGCGGCGGGGGGGGGGGGGGGCCCCGCGAGGGGGTTCCCGCCGGGGGGGGGGGGGTGCGGGGAGGGGTTCCTGCACAGCCCAGCCTGGCTCTGGCTCTCGTCCTTGCAAACTCGGTAGCAGCTGTGTGCGACCGCATCAGGGCCGAGGCGGAGACACAATGCAGGGAAGTGGCCGAGTGGGGAGTGTGGAGAGCAGGAAATCTGTGGCCTGGCCGCACTGTTAAATGTAAACAGACAATAATGAACCGTTGAGCGCCAGTGGTCTAAGTGCTAACACGGATGATTTAAAAGGAAGGCTCCCGCTACAAGAAAAGTCCCATAATCGTCTTAGGCTAAAAACACTAGCCTCTGTCAGCGGAACCCAGAGGTCGGGCAGAAGGGGCACGTGTGCACCGGGGTCCCGCGAGGACAGGAGGGGGAGGCCGGGCGGGCAGAGGAAGAAGTGGGTGCTCCCGCTGGGGGCGGGGAAGGAACTGCCGGCTTCTCGTCGCCTGAGAAAAGAAACGTTAGTAAGACTTGAAGGAACGGAAGGGCTGCCTGTGTCTAAATCCGCAAAGGAGGGAGAGGAAAAGCCATTGGACCGACTGTCGGAATGAGGAGGGAGAGAAACCGCAAAGTACATGAACCGTAGCGAAGTAATACGGAGGGCATCCTCTCAGGCTGTGTCTGAAACGTGAGCGGCCACGTTCCCTCTCTAGGAGGCACGTGCCATCTATACGAAGAACACTCATGTGATGGAAGACAGTTCAAAACTGCCAAGAAAGTAGAAGCAGCGAGAAAGCAGGAATGGCAACGCTACCATCAGACAAGACGGGACTGAATCTGAAAAAGCACCAAAGGAGCAGGAAGGGGACACTTGTGAGGAAACGGCGGCGTGAAAACGTAACTTCTGCGGAGAGTGTTCTGGGGACTGATGAACTTGAGCCTCACGTCGGCCCCGGGAAGAGGGCCGTCCTCCCGCATTTGAGGCTGAGGGAGCTGCGGGAACGGACGGGATTCGGACACAGGCGGCCTGGCTTCGGAGTCTGTCACACGCTCCGGTCCCGACACGTGGCAGAGCGTAGCCTACGGTAGCACGTGTGCACAAACGTGCGTGTGGGTGCGTGGGGACGCGTACATGCCTGTGCGTGCTACGGGTGTGTGCTCCTGCGTCACCACTAGGGGGGATTTCAAATCCCCTTTCGGAATTAGGGCGCCCCCATAAGCAAGAGTAAGACAGATAATAGAATAACGTAAGCAACAAATTCGATTAAGAAGAGTTTTGTAGAACCCAACATCCCTCTCGTAGGCAGCACACGTTTTCCTTCATACATCCAAGGAACTCGTAGAAAGTTCAGCCAGGAGCACGGCCACGGAATAAAATCTTTAATTACTGTGTGGGCCGCATTCTCGGATCGTAATCTAATAAGTAATAAAAATTCGACCCCAAAGATCTTAAGGTGGAAATTAAGAAACATGCCTGGAGTTCAGAAGTCTTTTATCGAAGAGGATGTTCAAAGGAAAATCACAAGATATCTCAAACACAAAGGAAATGAGATACTTCACACTGAAACTATGACAGTATAAAATATGCTCAGAAAGGAATAAACTATGGCCTTAAATATCCTCATCATTAAAGAGGAAGTGCAGGAAATTCATAGTCATCTTAAGAAATTAGAAAAAACAACAAAAGGGACAAATGAATCTAATTTTAATAGTGATAAAATAATACACAAAAAATAGTAGAACGGAAAAATAAATCCAAAAATTGGTTTTTGATAAGACAAAGTTTGAAAGTCTATATGGATCCAATGATTTCTGGGAAAATACGAATTCTCAAAATTGACTCCAAAAATATGAAAGTTCTGAGTGGACCAACTGCTATAAGACACTGCAGATAAACACCGGGATGAAATGGTTTCACAGCTGAGTTCACTCTGGACCTTAAGACACGGACATTGATATTATTTAAGCTATTCCAAGCCTTAGAAAAAGATGGCAATTTCCCCAATCCATTCTATGAAACCATAATAGTAATGTGAATACCTGGTAAAAATAATATATGTAAGAATACAGGCTAGTTGTACTTAGGACCTGATGTAAAAAATTCTGTATAAATTATTGATAAGCTTCAGCAATGAATCAAAAGCATAACGCACTATGACCCCCTAGGGCTGAGTCCAAGAACGCAAGAAAGGCTCGATAGCTGGAAATCTATAACTCGCTTTCCATGATCACATCAGTAGATGCAGAAAAGCCTCCCATTCAGGAAGCCATCAAAACCCTAGAGGAGAAAGCAGGAAAAAACCTCTCTGACCTCAGCCGCAGCAATTTCTTACTCAACACATCTCCAAAGGCAAGGGAATTAAAAGCAAAAATGAACTATTGGGACCTCATCAAGATAGAAAGCTTCTGCACCGCAGAGGAAACAATCAACAAAACTAAGAGGCAACCGAAGGAATGGGGAAAGAGATTTGCAAATGACATATCGGATAAAGGGCTAGTATCCAAAATCTGTAAAGAACTCACCAAACTCCACACCTGAAAAACAAATAATCCAGTGAAGAAATGGGCAGAAGACATGAATAGACACTTTTCCAAAGAAGACATCCCGATGGCCAACAGACACATGAAACAATGTTCAATGTCACTCATCATCAGGGAAATACAAATCAGAACCACACCGAGATACCACCTCACGCCAGTCAGAGTGGCTAAAATCTACAAATCGGGAGACTACAGATGCTGGCGAGGATGTGGAGAAAGGGGAACCCTCTTGCACTGTTGGTGGGAATGCAAACTGGTACAGCCGCTCTGGAAAACAGTGTGGAGCTTCCTCAAAAAATTAAAAATAGAAATACCCTAAGACCCAGCAATAGCACTGCTAGGAGTCTACCCAAGGGATACAGGAGTACTGATGCATAGGGGCACTCGTACCCCAATGTTTATAGCAGCACTTTCAATGGTAGCCAAATTATGGAAAGAGCCTAAATGTCCATCAACCGATGAACGGATAAAGAAGTTATGGTTTATATATACAATGGAATACTACTCGGCAATGAGAAAGAATGAAATCCTGCCATTTGCAGCAACGTGGATGGAACTGGAGGGTATTATGCTGAGTGAAATAAGTCAGGCAGAGAAAGATACCATATGTTTTCACTCATATGTGGATCCTCAGAAACTTAAGACCATGGGGGAGGGGAAGGGTAAAAAAAAAAAAAAAGTTACAGAGAGGGAGGGAGGGAGGCGAACCACAAGAGACTCTGAGAACAAACTGAGGGTTGATGGGGGGTAGGGGAGAGGGGAAAGTGGGTGATGGGCATAGAGGAGGGCACCCGTTGGGATGAGCGCTGGGTGTTGCATGGAAGCCAATTGGACAATACATTATATTTAATCTAAAAAAAAAACAATTAGGAAAAAAATCTGGCTTCGAAAGGCAGGACAGTGTCAAGTTGCTTAATTTTTCACATGACATCAATTTTTGCCTACCCACAAAAGGCAGGCAGAAGAAACTTCAAAAGCAGTATGTTCGAGTTGCTCATCAGCGGGATGAAACATGCATGACGAAAGGTACATTATGGGCAAGCTTCTGTCAGTAGTTCATCCATCGGTGGCTGCGTTGTGTACCATACGAAGACACCTGCACAGTTTAACAAAGACATTGTTGGTGCCCTGTGTAGAGCACCACATGAAACCCTGCTCGTTCCCTCAGGGAGAGGTTTGTGGGTGTGTTATTGTTCTCCACAGCTTTCCAAGACTTCAGTGGTCCCTCACAATATGGTCTGTTGGCTTCTAGCAACCCGGGAACTTCCGTGGCTGTCATTTGGCTGCTGTTGGCTATTTGATATATAGCTACCTGCGCCCTGACTGGTGGTACGACATGCCTTTTCATCACGTAGCGTTTGTGACCCATTCTTGGTATACAATTACAACTCAAAGAATTACTTGTTTATTTCTCTGTCTTAAGACCAACTGTTGGTTCATTTGAGTTTGGTACATTAATATTAATGTATATATCTACATAATATCAATATAAATATAATACTAATAAATACCATAAATAAAAAAAGAAGTCTCTCATTATGAATTCAGACACCATTCCTGATAAGAACTCAAAAATATATAGGGATTATAAGGGACTACTTAAATATGGGAAAGACTACCAAAAAACTATAGCAAATATCATTTTAAATAGCCAACACTGAAGTTGTTTTTATTAACATCAAGAATCAAAAAAAACAAACAAACAAAAAACCAAAAAGAATCAAACAGGGATGCTGATTACACCATTAACGTTCAGCATCGCCTCAAAAGCTCTGGTCAACGCAATGAGAAAATGACATAATCCACATTAATGATGTCAGATCATATTAATCCGTATTAAGGATGAGGGAATAAAAAGAAAAGTGCACGTAACAAGCTACATCGTCCAGTTGCAGGACAACTGAGCTGTCAGCACAGAGCCTGACGTGGGGCTCGAACTCACGAGCTGCAAGATCATGACCTGAGCCCAAGTCGGTCGCTCAATGGACTGAGCCACCCAGGCGACTCTGGACTAGCATTTTTGGAAGGAAAACAGGAAACAAAGATGAAAGGGAGGGAGGGAGGGAGGGGAAGAGAGCTGGCAGTTGAAGTAGAGAGGTGGGGAGGGGGGTCGGAGAGAGAAGCAGGAATGAGATCCACTCGGTGCAGGGAGTTCAGAGAACATCTGTGTAAAGGGGCCCAAGAAACCTCCCAAAGCCAGCGGGCCCTCCGGGAGGGGTCTGACTGGAAGAGCAGGGGTCTCCAAAGACTCACGTCCCCTTGCTTACCCCGTTGTGCCTTCCGAACAGCTTGTGGTGTCTGTTCCAAATAATAGTAATAATTTTAATTTAGTAATTCGATGTTCAATAACAAAAAAGAATTAATGGATGAAAATGTATATCCTGATATTTTTAACCCTCTTGCTATTTCCACGTACAACTGACCCTTGAACAAGGCGGGGGTTAGGGGCACCGACCCCTGTGTGGTTAAAAATCCACGTATCACTTCTGATGCCCCAAAGCTTTATTAATAGCCTACTGTTGACTGAAAGCCTTACCCATAACGCCAACAGTCAATTAATACGTATTTTGTGTGTTATATGTATCGTATGCTGTATTCTTACAATAAAGGCAGCTCGAGGAAAGAAAGCATTACTAAGAAAATCACAAGGAACAGAAAATCCATTTACGGGAACGGTGAAAAATTCACATATATGGGGACCCACATACGTCAAACCCACGGTTGTGCAAGGGTCAACGGTATTTTTAAAGAGAAAATACAGGTAGCTGTTGCGAGTTGTTGATTTTACGTGCAAACATCAAAGTGGGCTGCAAACACGTTCTGAGATAGTAAAGACTAGTGGATTTTCTACAGGTTGCCGTAAAGGTGCTGGAGGACTCCCTGAATGCACAGACTGGTATTTCGTGGCAGAAACTGCACTACCTCATTGGGGAAGTGACTTACGGCGGCCGGGTGACGGACACCTGGGACAGGCGGTGTCTAAACACCCTTCTGCACAAATTCTGTAACCCGGAAGTGCTGAAAGATGACTTCAGTTTCTCCAGCGATGAGGTGGGAACAGGCATTTACTTACAGTACTTGATCACTGAAATGTAGTTGCGTTATCTAAAACCCGCATTTAAATGGATTTTCATGGTCACTTTTTTTTTTTAATTTTTTTTTTCAACGTTTATTTATTTTTGGAACAGAGAGAGACAGAGCATGAACGGGGGAGGGGCAGAGAGAGAGGGAGACACAGAATCGGAAACAGGCTCCAGGCTCTGAGCCATCAGCCCAGAGCCTGACGCGGGGCTCGAACTCACGGACCGCGAGATCGTGACCTGGCTGAAGTCGGCCGCTTCACCGACTGCGCCACCCAGGCGCCCCATTCATGGTCACTTTTAATGGCTCTTATTAACTGCCAGCAGTGTAAAAACAAGTCACCATTTACCATGTCAGCTGACAGTTCATCGTCCCATGCATCCTCTCAAGGCCAGAAAGACCAGGGTCTGACCTCTGTCCCCTCGCTTATCCAAGAAGCAGACCATTAGGTCAGCCTCCGTGCAGGGAGAGAATTGGGCTCCATGTTTCAAAGGGATCGCGTCCAAGAAGCTGTGGGCGTCTCTTTATCCAGCATAGTCCTGTTCGTCATTATCACCTCATGGGTTCTAGAAGGCCCGTTTTCTCCCCAGGGGATGTGACACGAGAGTCAGCCTTCCAGAGGGGAACTTAGCCACACAGCTAATCGCAGGAAGAGCAAGCTGGTGACCAGCATGAAGAGCTCTCCCACACCATTAAGTAGCTTCTCAATTAAAACAAATGTATTATGCATTTCATAACTGGGATTTCATATCTTTTGACCACCGTCGCCCATTTTGCTCCCCCCCCCCCCGCCAAGTGTTCAGACGGAGTCTTAACATCGTTGTCACATTCCTTCGACAGCTTCACCAAAGAAAGGCAGTTTGTTAAGGCTGGATTGTGTCCGTTATCTGTGGGTATGGGTCACTGAGGCAACAGGTAGTCAGAACCAAAGTGGTTTCCCTTCTTCTCTCTTCCCAGCAAGAAAGTTACTGTGCGTATCCCAGAGCCACACTTTACAAACGCAGTCGTCCCAAAGGTAGCTTTTGACAGGAGTGTCTGGAATATGCCACCCAGAAGTAAGGGGAGCCTTCTGTGTAAATGTTATGGGAATTTTATATAATTTACGTATGGTATTTATATATTTATATATGGTATAAATTTTATGGGAAGAAGTATCCACACGCATTACGGAAAGTAGGTATCGCTCTGGACAAAAACTAACAAGTGGTTAAATGTTCAGATACATCAGCCAGTGCCGAAATCCGCGAGCTTGAGGGATTACGTACACATCGTCCAGTCCTTACCTGACGACGACACGCCTGGGCTCTTGGGGCTGCACCCAGAGGCCATAAGGGGTGGCAGAGAGATCCAGGGCCGGCACCTTGTGGACAGTCTCATTACCATGCAACCCGGGACCAGCGCCGATCTCGCGGTCCGGTAAGAACTCACTGGCAACAGTCGTTAGTCGGGAATTATTAAATATTCATATTAAATAATTAAGTGTTAAGTGAATATTTAGGAATTTGAAAAGCTACAGTGCGGAACTTGCAGACAAATAAGTCTAAGATATACTGGGGGTGCCCAGGCGGCTCAGTTGGTTAAGCATCCAGTTCTTGGTTTTGGCTCAAGTCATGATTTCGCGTTTCGTGAGATCGAGCCCCTTGTGGGGCTCTGTGGTGACAGCGTGGAGCCTGCCTGGGATTCTCTCTCTGTCTCTCTCTCTCTGCCCCTCCCCCACTCATGCATGCGCAGGCTCTCTCTCTCTCCCTCTCTCAAAGTAAACTTTAAAGTGCAAAATACAAAACAATCTGAACAGAAACGAAAGTGTAAGAGGACAGTATGATGAAGAGGGCCAACGATACCACAGTCACAGGGCCTCAACACCCTTACTCTGCTTATCCATAAACATAGAATGCCTGTTTCCCCGTCAAGGCCATTGTGAGCTTTAAAAGCTGTAACAGATGGGGGCGCCTGGGTGGCTCAGTCGGTGAAGTGCCCCACTTCGGCTCAGGTCATGATCTCACGGCTCGTGCGTTCAAGCCCCACATCAGGCTCTGCACTTCGGATTCTGTGTCTCCCTCTCTCTCTGCCCCTCCCCTGCTCATGCTCTGTCTCTCTCTCTCTCTCTCTCAAAAATAAACAAACATTAAAAAGCTATAACAGACGTAACCCAAATTCTTAAGCCTCCGCAGCCTGTAACTAGAAGACAAGGTCACGTTTGTCAAGGCCACAGCTACGTGGTGTGAGCTCAGTGGCCTCACTGCCTCCCCAGCAAAGTGTGTTCCTGAGGTTCCCAGACGTCCTCTCGGGTGCTCGTTCACACCGCTGAGGACGCAGGTGGCCCACGCAGGCCTCGCCTCCCTCTTCCCTCGCTGAGTTCAAATCCCAGTTCCACCACCTGACTTTGCAGACTTGGGGACGTCACTTAAGTCTTCAAGTTCATCACGTTCGCATCTGAGATAATAACTGTGCCTACCTGTGGGGCTGTTCTCAGAATACGAGTTCCTCAGCTTTTAAGGGCAGCTTAAAAATCTAATTTTTCAATGTGTAAGTCTTACAGATTTTAACAATAATTTTTAAAAGGTCTTTGAATAGCGTTTGGTTATCTACTGACGTAAACGCTTTCAAGTATAATAATATTCATTACAGAGTTAATGTACTTCAGCTACCTCACCGCCAAACCTTCTTCAAATCTTGCAACAATTCTTATAAATCTAATAATTAAACAAATACGTGGGATCTTAAATTCTCTTATGTCTTCAAATATATCAACTTAGCTGAATTTCAACTCAAAATCATAAACTGAAACCAATTTCCCCACTTCCTGTTGTAAATAAGAGTCCCAGAGCTGACCTTCAGGTGTTAAGAGCCCCAAATCTCTTAAATATCATAAATACTGAAAATCCCAACAGGTACAGATTCCTCACCACGAAAGTACCGTCACTGTGGTTTTGATTCTGTTAATCCTGTCTACAGCAACTTCTCAGTCTTCCCCGGGACCAGTGGCGCCACTGTGCGTGACGTGGGAGTTTTGCCTTCTTGGTGTGCTTCAGGTTGGGGGGAAAACAAGTAAATAAACTGAAACCGAAAGTTAAACCACAACACGAGCGGATTCTTGTTGGGAACACGCATCGGATGCCTTGAACCCCGATTATACTCGTCGTTAAAGTCATCGCAACTCCAACCCCCGGTGATGGTGACGTTGCCCACGTCCCCAGGATCCGAGTCCACGTTCCCCTAGGCTGTTAGTCTGTGGGCTCACAGATCGGGTTTAGGGCCCTCGTGCTCTGCAGGAGCGCCAGCGGACCTGACCACCTGAGTCCTCAGTCTTGTCCTTGCCGGGGGTGCACGGGTGGCCCCGCTCTAGGTAATCCCCCTGTGACGTCACCACAAGGCGTCTGGCTCTATAAAAGCTGGGCTGCGGCTCGGGCTTTGTGGGGGATGGGCGTGTGCGGCCAGGACCTTCTGCGCACAGGCGCCCCCGATGGTAAGTTCCCCCGAGTAAAACTGTAAGTGGTCCTCTTAGTCTGGAGGACACGTCTCCCTCCTCCACCTCCTAACAGGCTCCTCAGATACACATGTCTTTTTTATATTTTTTTTCCACTCAGTTCTAAAACCTCTGAACCTATTGGAACTCTGTACACTTTGGTCTTCTCGTCTCTTTGTTGTTGTTTAGTTGTTGTTTTTCTTGAGAGAGACAGAAACCGAATGAGAAGGGGAGGAGCAGAGAGAGAGAGAGAGAGAGAGAGAGAGAGAGACACTCCCAAGCAGGCTCCACGCTGTCAGCACAGAGCCCAACGCAGGGCTCGAACCCATAAAACTGTGAGATCATGACCCGAGCTGAAACCAAGAGTCGGACACTCAGGCGACCGTGCCACCCAGGCGCCCCTTCCTGTCTCTGGACCACGAAACTCATATTAAAATGGTATCTGATTGGATCCTCACTGTGGCTTTGGCTGACCATCTGGTGCTCTCTTCCAAGGTCATTGCACTGACACAAAACAGGTGTAACCGAGCCCTCCCCCCACCGACGGAGTGAACGCATCCTACCTTCTACGTGCAGGAAAGCTGCACACACAGCGAGAGAGGAGTGGCTACTTGGAAGTCTTCCCGTGCGCCCCCAGAATATCAGGTTCAATTCCCTGCGCGTCCTGCGCTCATAAATACTGACGGCTGTGCCTCCCGCCTTCAACAAATTCGCCAGTAAGAAATGGGTTATGGGGCTGCTGTTCGCAAGCATGTTGAGTGTGTTTATCCGTGCCCCTCGGGCATTCTGGGAGGCTGGGATGGCTGCCATTATGCTGCCTGTGCTCAAAACATACTAGAAACTTCTCTGCATGACTAGATCTAAAAGATCCGTCCCATTTGACTTAACGCCCTCAGGGGTAGTTGCCCTTTGAAGATGTGTGCTTTTTGAAGTCTTTTGAATCATCAGAAGCCACCTTGGACGAATGCCACTGAGTAACCTTGCTTTAAAGTCACCGCCTAAGTGTGAAAACAAAATGGGAAAACCTCCTACTTGGCGTGAGGGGTGAGCGGACACAGAAGCAGTGCACTGAGCGTGGCTGTGGCTTCCAGGCTGTCGCTCACCGTGCAGGACAACACCCTGGCTGTGTGAGACCTGGGTGACGGCTGAAACCAGCCCCTGCCAGCAGTTAGAGTAACAGCACGCGCTCAGGGGAGCGTTAGTGCTTAGAGCTCGTCCAGCTTTCGCGCTCTGCCCCGCCTGGTCCAGGCCTGTGCCCCCACGGGCCGCCCAGCGTCCCCGAGGAATCTGACACGCGGTTGGTGACAAGCACACGCTGTCAGGTTGCCACCTGCGCCTTCATTTCGGTATTGACACTTCACGCAGATGCGTTCCGACGATGAATTGTCAACAAAGAAATCTTAAGAACCCTTTAAAAATACATATTTTCTTGTAAACGTCTAAAGTGCAGGGGGCGCCTAGGTGGCTCAGTCAGTTAAGTGTCTTTTTTTTTTTTTTTTAATGTTTATTTTTGAGAGAGAGAGACAGAGCATGAGCAGGGGAGGGGCAGAGAGAGAGGGAGACACAGAATCCGAAGCAGGCTCCAGGCTCCGAGCTGTCAGCACAGAGCCTGACACGGGGCTCAAACCCACAGACTATGAGATCATGACCTGAGCTGAAGCTGGACGCTTAACCAACTGAGCCACCCTGGTGCCCCTTAAGTGTCTGACTCTTGATCTCAGGGTCGTGGGTTCAAGTCCCGCATTGGGCTCCACCCTCCTTGTGGAGCCTACTAGAATAAAAAAAAAAGGTTAAATTATAAATAAAATAAAATAAAAATTTCTCGGGAAGCAGGGCAAGGGACCAGTTTTATCCCAACCGTTGATTTCAGCTCGGGTCGTGATCTCATGGTTGATGAGGTCGAGCCCCGCGCCGGCTCCACGGCCGGCCGCTTCATCTGTAAGATGCACGGACTCCGTCGTGTGCCTAGTCGCGTGCGGCTGTGAAGCAGCTTGGCCCGGGCCTGAACAGCGGGCTGTCCTGGGTCACACAGATCCGCATCTCTCCGTGTCCTTTGTAGTCCTGAGCAGAGTAACGACGAACTGCTGATGGAAATCCTGTCTGACCTGCTACAGCGGCTGCCGAGGTCTGTGGAGAAGGAAGAATGTGCTGGAACACCCAGCACCTTGAAGTGCATCATGTCCAGCCCCCTCTGGGAGTCTCTCTGTAAGAGCATCCAAGGTAGGCACAGGACGTGCGTCCTCGGGGAAGGACTCTGGCCCCAAGGGGAAGGGGTGGGGGTCCCCCAAGACCCCACAGAAGCAGCCAGGCCGAGTGAGGTAGGCAGTGCGGTCTCTACGCCCCCCCTTCCCACTCTCCAAGCTGAGAGACCACCCCCTCCCCCTCTCCAAGCTTGGGGCAGAGAAGGAAAGGGTGCTGTAGCTTTGTCTTCCTTTCTGGTTTTGTTGGGGCAGGGGGGTAGGGGGTGGGTGGCTGGGAGACTAAAAGTGAAGAAATATGCTTGTAGCAAAGCAGGAAGGAGCCGCCCTGCCTGAGGTTATAGAGCAGCTGGGGGGGGGTCGTCCCTGCCCCCCCGCGACCTGCCTGTGGAGCACGAGGAACGTGGACCCTCTGACCGGCGGCCCCCGCTCTGAGGGCTCTGGAAAGGGGGCAGGCCCAGGGGTGACAGGGCACCCAGCCCCGGGGGCCAGCGTCCGGGCCATGGCAAATGACCCAGTTAACTTCTCAACATCCACATCTCAACCGTTTATTTTTGAAAATTTTTTAAATATTTATTTATTTGGGGGAGAACACAAGTAGGGGAGGGACAGAGAGACGGGGACAGAGGATCTGAAGCGGGCTCTGAGCCGACGGCACAGAGCCCGATGCCAGGCTTGACCCCACAACCGGCACAGACCCCGAGGTCAGGCTTGACCCCCCCCCCCCAAACCGCGAGATCATGACCTGAGCCAGTCAGACGCTCAACCAGCTGGGCCACCCAGGCGCCCCTATACCTTACCCCTTTAAAGAAAGTTCGTCGGGAACCCAATGCTGAGCGGTAGTCTGTGACATCGGTGCTGTTGTGGAGTCGGAACCACGGTCAGCACCCTAGGGCTGTGGCCAGGTCCAGCCACCGTTCATTCCTGTGCAGCCTGAAAGCTAAAAGGCGTCTCACATTCTTTACTGGTTGGAAAAAACCAAAAGAGTATTTTAGGACCCATAAATCTATGAAATATGAACGCGAGGGCTGCTGCACAAATAAAACTTTATTGGCAAACGGCCAAGCTTATCGGTTTTGTGCGTCTGCGCCTGCGTTCGCACCACGGAAGCAGAGCCCAGCAGTCGTGACACAGACGGGGTGGCCACGGAGCCTGAAGTCATTCCTGATTTTCTGCAGAAAGTGTGTTGCGACCCCTGGTCTTGACACATGAAGTTCCTTCCATTTCCAAAGCCTGTGTTTCTCCTTTTATCTGAAAAATAACCTAATGTTCTGTCTTTCTCGATCCAGGCTATGATCCCCTCATCCACTGTGTCCTGCTAACCTTTCTGAGCCAAGAAATCGAACGATTTGATAAGTTCTTATTTGTTGTGCATGAATCTTTGAAAGGCCTTCAACTTGCAATAAAAGGAAAAACCATCCTCACCCAAGAACTGGAGGAAATGTATGAGTCTTTTCTCAATGGAAGAGTGCCTACGCTGTGGCAGGTGAGAGCCGTCACGCTACCCCGTTAACTGCTGAGCCGTAAGCGTGGGGTGCGGGCAGGGGGCGGGGGGCGTTCACTGTGGCACCTGATGAAGTATTAAGTATTATTGAAAGATGCTGATGTACGTTGGGTGTGAGCATGTATTAATAAAACCTCTTAGAGGGCAATCTGGCCATTCCACTCAGATAAATTTAAGACGTGCTGTTAATTTTAAGTTTCAGAAAATGATGTCATTTTTAGAGATTATAAAAACCTATATACTAATGTGTGCATACATATGCTTATAAAAACGCATCTATGCTTTAGATTGATTCAAGAACCCCCAACCGAAAGTCTTGGAAGAAAATGCACAAACAACTCTTCCCAGTGGTGGCCTTAAATGAGGGAGACTGGAGGGTCTTGTGGGTGGGAAAGAGGCTTTAACTTTACATTTTACGTATCCTTGTATCTTACTGTACGGTTTTGATTTTTTTTTTTTTATCACATTCATGTCTTTTTAAGTTTTTATTCCGTTATAACTGACCTACAGGGTTAGATTAGCTTCAGGTGTACAGGACAGTGATTGAACACGCGTATTCACTACTCTGTGCTCATCACGACAAGGGTGCCCCTTAATTTATCACCATCACCTATTTCACCCATCCCCCCCCCCCCGCCACCTCCCCTCTGGTGACCAGCAGTGTGTTCTCTGTAAGTTAAGAGTCTGTTTTTTGATTTGTCTCTTTTTTTGCTTTGTTTCTTAAATTCCACATTTGAGTGAAACCATATGGTATTTGCCTTTCTCCGTCTGTTCTTTCGCTTAGCATGATACCCTCTAGACCCATCCACGTTGTAGCAAATGGCAGGATTTCATTCTCTGCTATGGAGGACTGCTATGCCGTCGCGTTCGTATGCCTCGTTGTCCGTCCACTCGTCTATCGATGGACTTGGGTTGTCTCCACCCTTGGCTACCGTAAATAGTGCTGCAGTAAACATCAGGGTGCACGTATCTTTTCGAATTAGTGTTTTTGGTTTCTTTGGGTAAATACCCAGTAGTGGAATTACTGATCATATGGTGACTCTATTTTGAATGCTTTGAGGAAACTTCATACTGTTTTCCAAGTGGCTGCACCAGTGTGCATTCCCACCAATAATGCAAGAGTGTTCCCCTTTCTCCACATCTTGGTCAATATTTGTTGTTTCTTATGTTGTTGACTTGAGCCATTCTGACAGGTGTGAGGTGGTATCTCATCGTGGTTCTGATTTGCATTTCCTGGATGATGAGTGACACTGAGCATCTCTTCATGTGTCTGTTGGCCATCTGGATGTCTTCTTTCGGAAAATGTCCGTTCGTGTTTTCTGCCCATTTTTAAATTGGGTTATTTTTTGGTGTTGAGTTGTAGAAGTTCCTTATATATTTTGGGTACTAACCTTTTATCAGATCTGTCATTTGCAAGTATCTTCTCACATTCAGTAGTTGTCTTTTAGTCTCGTTGATTGTTTCCTTTGCTGTACAGAAGCTTTTTATTTTGATTCAGTCCCAATAGTTTATTTTTCTTTTGTTTCCCTTTTCCCAGGAGACATGTCTAGAAAAACATTGCTACAGCCAATGTCAGAGGCATTACTGTCTGTGCTGTCTTCGAGGATTTTATGGTTTCAGGTCTCACATTTGGGTCTTTAATCTATTTTGACTGTCATTTTTGTGCGTGGTGTAAGAAAGTGGTTCAGTTTTATTCTTTTGCTTGTAACTGTCCAATTTTCCCAGCACCATTTGTTGAAGAGACTGTCTTTGTCCCATTGCATATTCTTTCTCTTTTGTTGAAGATTAATTGACCATATAATCGTGGTTTCACTTCTGGGCTCTCTATTCTGTTCAGTTGATCTGTGTGTCTGTTTGTCTGTAATACCATCCTGTTTTGATTACTACAACTTTGTTGTAGGTCTTGAAATCTGGGATTGTGACACCTACACTTTTAGTCTTCTTTTTCAAGATTTCTTTGGCTGTTTGGAGTCTTTTGTGGTTCCATACAAATTTTAGGATCGCTTGTTCTAGTTGTGTGAAAAATGCTATTGGTATTTTCATAGGGATTGCATTAAATATGTAGATTGCTTTGGGTAGTATTGTTAAATATTTTAACAATATTTAATCTCCCAATCCCTGAGCATAGAATATCTTTCCATTTGTTTGTGTCATCTTTAGTTTCTTTCATCAGTGTTTTATAGTTTCCAGAATATAGGTCTTTCAGTCCTAAACTCTTTAGTCAAGTTTATTCCTAGATATTTCATTATTTTTGGTGCAGTTGCAAATGAGACTGTTTTCTTAATTTCTCTCTCTGTTGCTTTATTATTGGTGTATAAAAATGCACTGGATTTCTGTATGTTGATTTTGTATCCTACAACTTTACTGAATTCATGTATTAGTTGTAGAATTTTTTTGGTGGAATCTTTCGGGTTTTCTATCTACAGTGTCATGTCACCTATAAGTAGTAAATTTTTACTTCTTCTTCACCAATTTAGATGCCTTTCATTCTTGTCTGACTGCTGTGGACTTTCAATACTATGTTGAATACAAGTGCTGAGAGTGGACATCCTTGTCTTGTTCTTGATCTCAGGAGAAAAGTTCTGTTTTCCCCATGAAAGAAGCAATGTTTGCTGTGGGTTTTTCATATATGCCCTTTATTATGTTGAGATACCTTCCCTCTAAACCTACTTTGTTGAGTGTTTTTATCATGAATGGATGTTGTACTTTGTCAAATGCTGTTTCTGCATCTATTGAAAGGATCATATGGTTTTTATCCTTTCTCTTATTGATGTGATGTATCATGTAGATTGATTTGTAAATATTAAATCACCCTTCCATCCCAGAGATAAACCCCACTTGATCGTGGTGGATAATTTTTTTACTGCATTGTTGAATTCGGTTTGCTAGTGCTTTGGTCAGGATTTTACATCTGTGTTCATCATGGATATTGGCCCGAGTTCTTTTTTTTTTGTAGTGTCTTTTTCTGGTTTTCTGTATCAGGGTAATGCTGGCCCCATAGAATGAATTTGGAAGCTTTCCTTCCTCTTCTATTTTTGGAATAGTTTGAGAAGAACAGGTATTAACTCTTCTTTAAATGTTTGGTAGAATTAGGGGCGCCTGGGTGGCTCAGTATGTTAAGCGTCCGACTTCAGCTTAGGTCACGATCTTGTAGTTCATGACTTTGAGCCCCACATCAGGCTCTGTGGTGACAGCTCAGAGCCTGGGGCCTGCTTTGGATTCTGTGTCTCCCTTTCTCTCTATCCCTCCCCCACTCATGCTTTGTCTCTCAAAAATAAGTAAACATTTTAAAAAACTTAAATGGCGCGCCTGGGTGGCTAAGTTAAGTGACTGACTTCGGCTCAGGTCAGGATCGCATGGTTGTGAGTTCGAGCCCCATGTCGGGCTCTGTGCTGACAGCTCGGAGCCTAGAGCCTGCCCCAGGTTCTGTGTCTCCCTCTCTCTCTGCCCCTCCCCTGCTCATGCTCACTTACTCACACGCTCTCTCTCTCCCTCTCTCTCTCAAAAATGAATAAACATTAAAAAAAATAAAAATAAATTTAAATGTTTGGTAGAATTTACCTATGAAGCTGTCTAGTCCTGGACTTTTGTTTGTTGGAAGTTTTTTGATTACTGATTCAATTTAATTGCTAGTAATTGATCTGTTCAAATTTTCTATTTCTTTCTGATTCAGTTTTTGGAGTGTATATGTTTCTAGGAATGTATCCAATTCTTCTAGGTTGCCCAACTTGTTGGCATACCATTTTACGTACTGTTCTCCTATAATCTTTTTATTATTCTGTGGTGTCAGTTATTTTTTTCCCCCTTTCATTTCTGATTTGATTAGTTATTTGAGTCTCTGTTTCTTTTTTTCTTTTTTTTCTTTTTGAGGAGCCTGGGCTACGCTCATCAATATTGTTGATCTTTTCAAAACTCCAGCTCTTGGTTTCATTGACCTGTTCTATGTTTTAAATTTCTGTTTCATTTATTTCTACTCGAATTCCCTTCCTTTCCTTTCCTTTTTGGTTTTATTTGTTCTTTTTCTAGCTCCGTTAGGTGTAAGGTTACGTTGTTTGAGTTTTTCTTGCTTCTTGTGGTAGCCCTGTGTTGCTATAAACTTCCCTCTTAAAACAGCTTCTGCTGCATCCCAAAGATTTGGGACCATTATATTTTCATTTTCATTTTCTCATGTGTTTTTTATTTTATTTCCTCTTTGATTTCTTGATCAAATTGATCCATTTATTGTTTAGTAGCATGTATTTAACCTCCATGTATTTGTGTTCTTTCCAGATTTTTTTCTTGTTGATTTTTGGTTTCATAGAGTTGTGGTTAGACAAGATGCATGCTATGACTTCAGTCTTTGGAATTTGCTGAGACTTGTTTTGTGGCTGGATATGTGATCTGTTCTGGAGAATGTTTCATGTGTACTTGAAAACAATGTGCATTCTGCTGATTTTGGATGGAATGTCTGAATATACCTGTTAGATGAGCTGCCCCAGTGTGTCATTCAAAGCCACTGTTTCCTTGTTGATTTTCTGTTTACATGATCTGTCCATTGATGTAAGCAGGGTGCTAAAGTCCCCACTATTTTTGTATCCTTATCAATTGCATCCTTCATGTTATTAGCTGCTTTATGTATTGGGGTGTTCTATGTTGGGTGCATAAATATTTACAATTGTTATATCTATCTTCTTGTAGGATTGTCCCCTTTATTATTATATACTGTCCTTCTTTGTCTCTTATTACAGACTTTGTTTTAAAGTCTATTTCGTTCAATAAGAATTGTTACCCTGGCTTCCTTTTCACTTCCATTTATGTGATAAATGCTTTCCATCCCTTCACTTTCAACCTGCAGGTGTCTTTGGGAATGAAATGAGTCTCTTGTAGGCAGCATATAGATGGGTCTTGCTTTTTTATCCATTACGTCACCCTATGTCTTTTGATTGGAGCAAAATGGATTGCGTCCATTTACATTCAAAGTAATTATTGATATGTATGTACTT